GGCAGACACTACAGTCATTCCCCTTTGATAAAGGAGGAAACAGGCTCCGAGGTGTTACACAACCATTAAACAGCAGAGCCAGCCTCCAGACACCCCGAACAGGTGGTCCTGACCACCGCTGGATATGCGGGAAACACACAAAGCGTTTGGGGGAAGGAGTCGATAGAGTCGGGTAACACAAAATCCAGCCAGTGTTTATACCTCTTTCTTGTCCAAGATCGGTGGCCCCAGGATACTGGAGGGGAGAGCCTGGATGGGGAACGTGAAGCCGAAAGCACCCCGGAACTGCTGGCAGGGGAAGCGGCCAGGACCCCGGCCCCTCTGGCAGTGCGGGGAACCCCAGATTCATACACCCTCCCGAAGGGGTAAGACCCAAAGGAAATGCATGAAGCCACGGAGTTGCCAGGTGGCCCTTCCCTCCACGCTTGTTTTGTCAAAGAGGGGCCTCCGGAGGTCGCTGGGGTCCCTACCTGTAGGCCAAAGTCATGCACTCGAACAGCTTGGTGAGCGAGGCGTCGATGGACAGGTGGCAGGAGCTGGTCTTGCCGAAGCTGTAGGTCTGGCAAGTCTGCTTGTTGACCGTGTCGAAATCGTAGCCCTTCTTGGGCGGGTGTTCTCGGTGCGGCGACGACACCATGAAGTGGCCGCTGTGGATGATCTGCTGGCGGCGCGGAGGCTCGTCGCGGCCCGGCCCGGCCCGGGGCGGCGGCGGCGCGGTGCTCGCGTGGGCCCGAGCCGGGGTGGCCGCACCGGAGACGGGCGGCGGGGACGGCTCATCTGTGTCCGAGTCGTCGTCGTCCTCGGGCACCTGGGGCTTGAGCAGCACCGGGCGGCCCCGACTGCGGGGCCGGCGCGGGGAGCACATGAAGACGTCGGCGGCCATGAGAAGGGCCCGGCATCCCCCGGAGCCCAGGGAGACGCTACAGGAGCTTGTGGCTGAGGGGCGCCGGCCCGGCCCGGCCCGCGCGCCGACTGTTCGCGAGCGCGCGGCTCGGCGCGGCGCGGCGCGGCGGGAGGGGGGAAGGCGCCGGCCCCGGCGTGACGTCACCGGGGCATCTGGGCCAATCGGCTGCCCGCATCGGCCTCTTAAAGGCGCAGGGGAACCTTTCCTTAGCTAAGTGGACCAAAAAAAAAAGGGAAGCGGAGGCCACGCCTCCCGGCCCTGCCCCTGGCCGCCTCCTCCCCTCCCGCCTCCCGGCCCTGCCCCTGGCCTCCTCCTCCCCTCCCGGCGGCCGCGGGTGCCGAGGGACACGGTGGCCGGGCGGAGCAGCTCGCCGGTGTCGCGGCCTGGAAGAGGCGTCGGCGGAGTGGGGCCGTGCTGGTCCCACCCCCTCCCCGCCCCGCGCCCCTGGAGTAGCCCTGCGGCCTAGCCGCGGACCGGGCCGGCTCCACGTGGTGGGTGCGGGAGGGGCTCCTCTCCCTCCAGACCCTGCTTTCCCGGCCGGGCGGTAACCGAGTCCTGCAACTCAAGTCTGACTTTGCCGGGCGTGGTAGCTATTGTCCCCATTATTCTCATCGTATTGATGGGAAGACTGGGTGGCTGAATACCGACAGGATTTTTCTTTTTTCTTTTATAATTTTTTTTATTGCATTTTAGGTTTTGGGGTACATTGAAGAACATGCAAGATTGTTGCATAGGTACACACATGGCAGTGTGATTTGCTGCCTTCCTCCCCATCACCTATATCTGGCATTTCTCCGCATGCTATCTCTCCCCAACTCCCCACCCCTCCGACAGGATTTTTCTAAGACCTGGCGTCCAGAGAGCTGGGAACTTGCTGCCCGTGCACAACCGCAGCGCGGCGCAGCTGTTGAGTGGCAGCGCCCCTGAGCCGAGCGGCCTGCAGACCCCAGCTCTTTTAAGTTCAACTCAGGATGCTTTTTTTTTTTTTTTAAGTTCAACAGACAAGCCAGCGCCCGAAACAATTCCAAAAGGGGAATATCTAAGCCAGGGTTTTCTTCTCTGTCAAATGGGGAAAAATTTCTGTGCCTCAGGAACTTGTCACAATTTTTAAATGGCTATAGCGGGGCGCCGTGGTTTACGCCTGTAATCCCAGCACTTTGGGAGGCTGAGGCGGGTGGATCACGAGGTCAGGTGATCAAGACCATCCTGGCTAACACGGTGAAACCACGTCTCTACTAAAAATAAGAAAAATTAGCTGGGCGTGGTAGCCGGCGCCGGTAGTCCCAGCTACTCAGGAGGCTAAGGCAGAAAGATCGCTTGAACCCGGGAGGCAGAGGTTGCAGTGAACCGAGATCACGCCACTGCACTATAGCCTGGGCGACAGAGCGAGACTCCGTCTCAAAAATAAATAAATAAATAAACAAACAAAAGTGGCTATAAGGTGCTTAGCAGGGACGCTGGTACAAAATGAGCACTAAATAAACGTGCCACAGGTTGGAGGATTTGGATCATCCAGACCAGAGGTGCCTAGAAATTGCCAATAGTCTACCACTTTTGACCTGCAGAAACAAATTCACATGGAACAACCAAGCTTACAGACACCTCTAGAAAGCTATCAAAGTTTCCGGGGCTCAAAACCAGTCTGGGGTGGAGGTGGCAGTGCAGCAGGAGAGCCAGGGAGGCCCATGAGCCAGAAGCACCCATCCTAATCCTAGCAGGGCGTCTAGAGTCCTCCACCGCCATTCCCGCACTCTGTTTGATTTATTGTTGTTTGTTTTGTTTTTTGAGACAAAGTCTTGCTCTGTCACTCAAGGCTGGAACGCAGTGGCGCGACCTTGGCTCACTGCAACCTCTACCTCCCAGGTTCAAGGGATTCTCTTGCCTCAGCCTCCTGAGTAGCTAGGACTACAGGTGCCTGCCACCATGCCCGGCTAATTTTTGTATTTTTAAAGTAGAGACGGGGTTTCACCATGTTGGCCAGGCTGGTCTGGAACTCCTGACCTCAAGTGATTCCCCTACCTCAGCCTCCCAAAGTGCTGGGATTACAGGAGAGAGCCACCAATCTGGCTCTGCACTGGGCTTTGAAGCCAGTTTCAGTTCCAGATTTGGGTGGGGGATAAGTACCCTTCTCCACCCTCCTGACAAGCGCCCCCTGAAGGGAACAGAGGGCTCTCACCAAAATGGCCACACTAACTTCTTTCCAAATGTCTGTAAGGAAAAATGGGCTGGATGTCTGGCAGCTTTCAGGCGTGAGTTCTAGATTTCCCTCCTCCTCCTGTTCCCAGTGCTGGCTGCAAATGTTTGAAAGTTCATCCTTTGAGTTGCCTTCCTTTATCTGAAGACTTGTCTCCTTGGTAAGTTTACATGGCCAGCCACTTTTTTTTTTTTTTTTTGAGACAGGGTCTGGCTCTGTCACCTGGACTGGAGTGGAGTGGTGACATCATGGCTCATAGCAACCTCAACCTCCAGTGTTCAAGTGATCCCACCTCAACCTCCCAAATAGCAGGACCACTGGCGCACACCACTGTGCCTTGCTAATTTTTGTATTTTTTTTTTTTTTTTTTTTTTTTTTTTTGAGACGGAGTTTTGCTCTTGTTACCCAGGCTGGAGTGCAATGGCGCGATCTCGGCTCACCACAACCTCCGCCTCCTGGGTTCAGGCAGTTCTCCTGCCTCAGCCTCTTGAGTAGCTGGGATTACAGGCACGTGCCACCATGCCCAGCTAATTTTTTGTATTTTTAGTAGAGACGGGGTTTCACCATGTTGACCAGGATGGTCTCGATCTCTCGACCTCGTGATCCATCCGCCTCGGCCTCCCAAAGTGCTGGGATTACAAGCTTGAGCCACCGCGCCCGGCCTAATTTTTGTATTTTTTATAGAGATGGGGGTCTCACCATGCTGCCCAGCCTGGTCTCGAATTCCTGACCTCAAGTGATCCTCCTACCTGAGCCTCCCAAAGTGCTGGGATTACAGGTGTGAGCCACCATGCCCTGTTTTTATTTTTGTTTTTATGTTTACCTATATTTTATCTCTTCTTTTGAGACAGGGTCTCACTGTGTCACATTGGTGTGATCACGGCTCACTGTAGCCTCAACCTCCCCTGCCCAAGCTATCCTCCCACCTCAAAACCAATCTGGGGCGGGGGTTGCAGCCTCCCAGTTAGCTATGACCACAGGTGGGTACCACCAAGCCCAGCTAATTTTTAATTTTTTATAGAGATGGGGCTTCCCTATGTTGCCCAGGCTGGTCTTGAACTCCTGGGCTCAAGCAATCCTCCCACCTTGACTTCCCCAAATGCTGGGATTACAGGTATGAGCCACCACACTCAGCCTGTATTTTCTAATTTCCAAAATAAACGTGTATTATGTAGATAAACATTTTTAAATTAAGTTAAAATTGGCTGAGTTTGGTCGGTGGCTCTCACCTATAATCCCAGCACTTTGGGAGGCCAAGGTGGGCGGATTGACTGAGCTCAGTAGTTCGAGACCAGCCCGGGCAACACAGTGAAATCCCATCTCTACTAAAAGTTAAAAAATAAAAATAAAAATAAATAACTAGAAATACAGATATAGGATAAAATTTTAAATTTTTATTTATTTTTTTGAGATGGAGTTTCACTCTTGTTACCCAGGCTGGAGTGCAATGGCGCGATCTCGGCTCACCGCAACCTCCGCCTCCTGGGTTCAAACAATTCTCCTGCCTCAGTCTCCCGAGTAGCTGGGATTACAGGCACATGCCACCATGCCCAGCTAATTTTGTATTTTTAGTAGAGACGGGGTTTCACCATGTTGACCAGGATGGTATCGATCTCTTGACCATGTGATCCACCTGCCTCGGCCTCCCAAAGTGCTGGGATTATAGGCATGAGCCACCGCTCCCAGCCTAAAATTTTAAATTTTAAAAAATTAGACAAGTGTGGTGGCATGCACCTGTAGTTCCTGCTACTCAGGAGGCTGAGGCAGAATTGCTTGAACCTGGGAGGCAGAGGCTGCAGTGAGCCGAGATTGTACCACGCACTCCAGCCCTGGGTGACTGAGTGAGACCCTGTTATTTGTATTTATTATTTTTTTTTTTTAAAAAGGTTAAAATCAGTTCTCTGACTCTGGTTTCGCTTCAAATCATATAAATCTTTCACCTTTTACTAAGATTTCCGTGTAGAGGAACAATTCTGAGTTTTTTTTGTTTTTTGTTTTGAGACGGAGTTTCGCTCTTGTTACCCAGGCTGGAGTGCAATGGCGCGATCTCGGCTCACCGCAACCTCCGCCTCCTGGGTTCAGGCAATTCTCCTGCCTCAGCCTCCTGAGTAGCTGAGATTACAGGCACGCGCCACCACGCCCAGCTAATTTTTGTATTTTTAGTAGAGACGGGGTTTCACCATGTTGACCAGGATGGTCTCGATCTCTTGATCTTGTGATCCACCCGCCTCGGCCTCCCAAAGTGCTGGGATTACAGGCTTGAGCCACCGCGCCCGGCCTAATTCTGAGTTTTAATCCAATTTTTTGAGGCCCTGTTTCTGCAGGGCTGATTTAAAAAAAAAAAAAAAAAAAAAAAAATCAGTTCCCTGGGAGGAGATAAGCCTCAAGGCTGAGGTTGCAAAGTGGCAACCCAGGGACCATATTCAATGCAGAAACATGCCTTGTTTAATGGTACCATCAATTCCTAAGAGACTATATCAGGGAAGACTCTTGGGGGAAATTGCAGTTAAAAATGCAAAAAGCAAATAAGTGTATTAGGTGAATGGAAAAAATAAAATAAAAAACAAAAAATTGCAAAAAGCAAAGGACCACTGCATGGGAGGTCCAGTCATGAAAGGTGCTCCAAGCTCACAATCAGTGTCCGTAAGAACAAGGAGGAAGTCTCGACTCCCCTCCCTGGGATTTTGTGTAAAATCTACTCTTTTCTAGATCCTTTGTCTTTGTCTTCCTCGGTTACTTCCTCGTTTTGCAGAAGCATATCCTCCAGAAGCCTTTTCAGAAAGGACATGGAAAGAACTTTTGAAATCTTGCATCTCTAAAAGTGCTTTCATTCTACTTGCACATGTATTTGACAGTTCGGCTAGGAAAAGGAATGTAAATTAAAATTCATTTGTCGCCGGGCGCGGCGGCTCACACCTGTAATCCCAGCACTTTGGGAGGCCAAGGCGGGTGAATCACGAGGACAAGAGATCGAGACCATCCTGACCAACATGGTGAAACCCCGTCTCTACAAAAAAAAAATACCAAAATTAGCTGGTTGTGGTGGCACGCGCCTGTAGTCCCAGCTACTCCAGAGGCTGAGGAGAATTGCTTGAACCCGAGAAGTGAGGGTTGCAGTGAACCAAGATTGTGCCACTGCACTCCAGCCTGGCGCCTGGTGACAGAGGAAGATTCTGTTTCAAAAAAAAAAAAAAAAAATCATTTGTCCTTGGAATTTGAAAGGTATCATTCCATTGTCTTGTTGCTTTTGAGATGTCCAATGTCATTTTTATGTCAGATCCTTTTTGTGTGAGCTGTCTTTTTCCTCTGGGAGCTTTGAAATCTCTTTATCACTAGTGTTCTGAATTTTGTGAATTCATAATTATGTGGCTTGGTGTAGGTCCCTTTTTTTTTTTTTTTAGAGGAAATCTTGCTCTGTCACCAGGCTGAAGTGCAGTGGTGTGATACTGGCTCACTGGAACCTCTGCCTGCCAGATTCAAGCAATTCTTCTGCCTCAGCCTCCCGAGTAGTTGGGACTACAGGTGCATGCCACCACACCCACTTTTTGTATTTTAGTAAAGACAGCGTTTCGCTATGTTGGCCAGAAAGGTTTCGATCCCTTGACCTCGTGATCCAACTGCCTTAGCCTCCCAAAATGCTGGGATTACAGGCATGAGCCACCGTGCCTGGCCAGTGTAGGTCCTTTTAAGATTAAAAATGGTGACCCTCTGTAGGCTCTTTTAACCTGAAAGTTCATGTCTTCAGTTGAGAGTTATTTTGTTATATTACCTAATTGATTATCTTCTCCCTTTTATTTTTTCATTTGCTTTCTGGAACTTCTTTTAGATATTGAACTTGTTGAATCAACCCTCCATTTATATTACATTTTCTCATTTTTGCCTTTTTGACCCACTAAAAATAAAATTTTACCAAAATTTTAAAAATTGAGCGGGCACGGTGGCTCACACCTGTAATCCCAGCCTTTGGGAGGCCGAGGCAGGTGGATCATGAGGTCAAGAGATCAAGACCATCCCGGTCAACATGGTGAAACCCCATCTCTACTAAAAATACAAAAAATTAGCTGGGCATGGTGGCGCATGCCTGTAATCCCAGCTACTCAGGAGGCTGAGGCAGGAGAATTGCCTGAACCCAGGAGGCGGAGGTTGTGGTGAGCCGAGATCGTGCCATTGCACTCCAGCCTGGGTAACAAGAGCGAAACTCCGTCTCAAAAAATAAAAATAAATAAAAAATTATACCTCATTTGGGCCGGGCATGGTGGCTCATGCCTGTTATCCAAGCACTTTGGAGGCCAAGGCAGGCGGATCACCTGAGGTCGGGAGTTCAAGACCAGCCTGACCAACATGGTGAAACCCCATCTTAAAAATAAATAAATGGCCGGGCGCGGTGGCTCAAGCCTGTAATCCCAGCACTTTGGGAGGCCGAGGCGGGTGGATCATGAGGTCGAAAGATCGAGACCATCCTGGTCAACATGGTGAAACCCCGTCTCTACTAAAAATACAAAAAACTAGCTGGGCGTGGTGGTGCATGCCTGTAATCCCAGCTACTTAGGAGGCTGAGGCAGGAGAATTGCCTGAGCCCAGGAAGCGGAGGTTGCGGTGAGCCGAGATCGCGCCATTGCACTCCAGCCTGGGTAACAAGAGCGAAACTCCGTCTCAAAAAAAAAAATAAATAAATAAATAAATAAATAAGCCGGGCGTGGTGGCTCACGCCTGTAATCCCAGCACTTTGGGAGGCCGAAGCAGGTGGATCACGAGGTCAAGAGATCGAGACCATCCTGGTCAACATGGTGAAACCCCATCTCTACTAAAAATACAAAAAATTAGGCCGGGCGCGGTGGCTCAAGCTTGTAATCCCAGCACTTTGGGAGGCCGAGGCGGGTGGATCACGAGGTCAAGAGATCGAGACCATCCTGGTCAACATGGTGAAACCCCGTCTCTACTAAAAATACAAAAAATTAGCTGGGTATGGTGGTGCATGCCTGTAATCCCAGCTACTCAGGAGGCTGAGGCAGGAGAATTGCCTGAACCCAGGAGGCGGAGGTTGCGGTGAGCCAAGATCGTGCCATTGCACTCCAGCCTGGGTAACAAGAGCGAAACTCCGTCTCAAAAATAAATAAATAAATAAATAAATTTAAAAAATGTACCGCATTTCAGGCTGGGTGCGGTGGCTCATGCCTAGGTAACAAGAGCGAAACTCCGTCTCAAAAATAAATAAATAAATAAATAAAATGTACCGCATTTCAGGCTGGGTGCGGTGGCTCATGCCTAGGTAACAAGAGCGAAACTCTGTCTCAAAAATAAATAAATAAATAAATAAATAAATAAATAAATAAAATGTACCGCATTTCAGGCTGGGTGCGGTGGCTCATGCCTATAATCCCAGCGCTTTGGGAGACTGAAGTGGGTGGATCACTTGAGGTCAGGAGTGCAAGACCAGCTTGACCAACATGGTAAAACCCTGTCTCTACTAAAAATAAAAAAAATAAAAAATTAGCCAGGCACAGTGGCATGTGCCTGTAACCCAGCTACTCAGGAGGCTACAACAGGAGAATTACTTGAACCCAGGAGGCAGAGGTTGCAATGAGCTGAGATTGTACCATTGTACTCCAACCTTGGCAACAAGAGCAAAACTCTGTCTCAAAAAAAAAAAGTCCACGCATGGTAGGTAACGCCTTTGATACCAGCACTTTGGGAGGCGGAGGCACGAGAACTACTTGAAGCTGGGAGGCGGAGGTTGCAGTAAGCTGAGAGTGCGCCACTGCACTCCAGCCTGGACGACAGAGTTGAGATTCCCCCTCAAAAAAAAAAAATTATACCTAATTTCAGAAAAGTTTCTTAGAGGTCTTTCTTACTTTCTGTTACTTTCTTTTTTTTTTTTTTTTTTTTTGAGACGGAGTTTCGCTCTTGTTACCCAGGCTGGAGTGGAGTGCAATGGCGCGATCTCAGCTCACCACGACCTCCGCCTCCTGGGTTCAGGCAATTCTCCTGCCTCAGCCTCCTGAGTAGCTGGGATTACAGGCACGCGCCACCATGCCCAGCGAATTTTTTGTATTTTTAGTAGAGACGGGGTTTCACCATGTTGACCAGGATGGTCTCGATCTCTCGACCTCGTGATCCACCCGCCTCGGCCTCCCAAAGTGCTGGGATTACAGGCTTGAGCTACCGCGCCCGGCCTTACTTTCTTTTTTTTTTAAATAGCAACAGCATCCTCCTCTTGGTTCATGTATGCAATAATGTCTCTTATCTCTCCCAGAAGAATATTTTGAGTTTATTTGAAGTTATCTTTTGCTCCCTGAATTGTTTACATTTCTCTCTCTCTCTTTCTCTCTCTCTCTCTCTCTCTCTCTCTCTTTTAGTTTGTTTTGAACTCCCTCTTCATGTTGGAAGCTTTCCTCAGAAGTCTGGAAAGGAGCCCATGAGGATGACTGATAGGATCGGTGTGTACGGCAGGAGCCTGGCCTGTCAGCGAGTGAGCCAGTGGGTGGCCAGGCGGCTCTCTGGTCCGAGGCTTCTCAATGTCAGTATCTGGAGGTCTTCTCTGTGGGTGGTTCTGATTGCCCAGGCGAGGACCTCCAATTGCCTTCTGGGAAAGTGTGTCTGGCTGCTCAGTTTCTGGAGCAAGGTCAGGGAAGAGGGCAGTCATTTTGCTGTTTGCTCTGCCCACTGCCACTAAATCTCTCTGCTATCAGCCTCTGGCAACTCACTCGCTCCCTGCACTCATTCTATGCCATCCCCAGTTCTGGAGCCTCTTTGATTTAATTTCTCCAGAAGCTAAACCTGAAGAGGGAGAGAGCTAGTCACCCAAGACCGCACAAGATGGGGATGAGAACCTGGATGTCCCCTCCCTATGGCAGCAAGGAAGCCTCCAATTCCTGAGACTTTCTGGGATTCCAGGAGAGGACTGGCCTGCTTTCACTGGGATCTGCTTCTGTAGGTTTGGGGCTACAGGTGTTGTCTTATTTCACTCAATATGGATTTTCTCCTTCGGTTTCTTGTTCTCTTGTACTTTGAGG